TGACATTAGACCATTTCTTGAAATCCTGAGACTGTCTATTTTCAGGCCAGATATAGCATGTATCACTTGGGAAATAATCCAAAAATGTCATATGTCCACTTGCAAACCCACTGTTTAACATTTTGAGGAACACAACAAAAATACAAGGGGTTAGTTTTTTTTTTTTTTTTTGCTAGTTATTGGTTGTCCTTAACACACATCAATTTTAACTAGCATTTGACCAGCTTTGAAATGCACATGCCACTCAAAAATCTATATTTGTCCTGTAGAACACTTGCCAAAAGCCCGAGGAAGCATTTCAACAGTCTTGGGAAAGGCTTTCTGAACCACAAGGCAAATTTGATACATGTTACACAAATTTGTCAGCTGGTATAAAGAACAGAGAGCTATTCCAAAAGATTACAAAACTTCATGGAATAATTGAATATCAGTAGATAGCATGAAACCTATTGGTAGACTGATTCAGTAGGCTGGGTATCAATGAGGGTTAACTGAATGTACGTTAAGTGGTGATGGGTTATTTTCCATTCTACAATCCCTTTCTCACAGATGAAACATTGCTAGCATTTCACATCTCTATCCCTATTTCTATGGTAAATTTTTAAGCAAGCTATATTGCTTAATTCCACCAGTTCAGACATTTACATCTAGGACCTTTTATGCCATGTACACATGGTCAACTAATCATCATTCCCTTTGTATTTCATTGGTAAAGAGGAAGTTACACTCGGACAGGTTCTTCTCCAGAACTGTTACTTTGTGGAACCAACTCCTAAGAGGATGCTTTCCTGAGCATTGCAGTTTTAACCTCTTCAAGTTTAATGATGCTATGAATTTATACAAATGAATGATTTTGCTCCCCATAAAAAAATTTTTAAGAAATGCTCAAAATTTACACCTCAATTTTACATGTTATGGAGTCAGGCTAATTTGGTTGAACATTATTACCAATCAACTTAGACCTATGGGCAGGATCTGTTCAGCATTCACTTTCTACTCTCAATAGAATCTAAAAGCACCTCCACATCCTTGTGGGTGAAGAATTATTTTTCACCTTACAACACCTCTCCCACAGGCCAAACATTGCACACTTCTCACTGCTCTATTGCTATTTCCAATGGTGAGTGTTCAGACAAAGTACATTCCTTAGTTCCACCAGTTCAACCTTCATGGCTAAGACCCACCATGCCATGCACATTGTAGCAAATGTATTTCTTTGCTGAGATGTAAGTTCCACATGAGCATCATCTTCCCACCAAACACTGCATTGTGGAACCAACTCCCAAGAGGATGCTTCCCCAATAACTACAATCTTGTTCAATTCTAGGTTTAACCATTAACTTCCACTCATATCCACATAAGCTGTGCCTCTTAATCTGTAACTCACAAACTTGAGTGGCCCTCAGGCCTTGTACATCATTGTAAAACAAAAAATAGAACATACAATTTAGCTGAAAATGATGAAAAGTGAACCGAGGGAAATACTTTAATGACTGAATAATAATGCTATGAATTGGTATAAGTGCATGGTTTTGTCGAAAATAATGGTAACTTTTGGATCAGTATAATATGAGAGGATAGACAGTTTAGCTGAAAAGGGGTTCAAGTCCTAGTAAGCTGAGGAAAATTTTTTGATGACTGAATAATTTTTGTAGGATATGCCTGTAGTATAGGAGTTACTAGCACAAAAAGCAGAATCCACATGCCGAGTTCAAATTCCAGTCAAGTTCATTGCATTTGCTTCCTCACAAATACGCTTGGGAAAGATTTTAATCCATCTCCTTTCCTCCTCTTCCAGCTATGGATTAAATAGTAGGGCAGACTCGAATTTATAGCTTTGGTTGGCAACCAATTTTGAAGAAGGGCATTTTTGAATTCTAAACAGTTAAGGCAACAGGAAACCACTCTACTATCTTTCCCAATAAGTCATAGCAATTCACAGATAATGTGATTTGTGGAGAATTTGATTTCAAAACTATTTGGGTATGAGGTTGGTAACTTCACACAAAAAACTTGGTCCAGAAACCACCCCAGCAACACCTTTTATGGTGAAGCTGTGACTTTATACTCCACAGGGGAGGCTAATGGTATGGAAGAAGAGTTTTACACTATTTGCATGTGAACTATTGTCCTCATCTTTCTTGTTATCAGTGAGTGCAGTCAAGCATGACAAGCAGCAGCAGTACTGATCAGCTGGCAGCTTAGGTTTAAGGCTCCAAGTTCTTCACAGAGAATTTTCCTACGGGACAATAGCCTAATGTATTAAAGTGTTGGTTTGTGAATTTGTTGATATAATAATTGTGAGTTTAATCCCTCAGCCAGGTAGTGTGTACTTGGACTCAATAGGAACAAGGTGAACTGTAACTGAGCAGTATAAAAACTAAACAAGATATCCCTTGATATGAGAATGGCCTACTAAATAGCAGATTAAACAAAGGGTTCAGATTGAAATTCCCTGTAAGTTACTCAAATCGATATACACCTGACAAAGCCAAGGGGACACAACAACTGAAAAGTGATAACAACAACAAAGATGCGGACAAGAATCTGCATGTAAATAGTTTAAATAGTGATAACTCCCAGAAAAATAATTGAAAGCCAAGTGAACATCTTACGAATACAATAGTACAATAAAACAGGTTTAGCAATATGACTTTATCTAGCAAGTGACCTCACAATTTTTTTTTTTTTTAATTTTTTTTTAGCACCTCATGTTGAGCACCATAAATTTGTGATAGGACAAATAAATATGCCTTTGTTCTTTTTCACTTTTGTTCTGTAACCTTTGACCTTGTCCCTCTTGAATAACATTCTTCCCATCCTTCACTGATTTTTGTTAACAAATCCTTTTCTTGTTACATAATTAGAATTCTTGTACAGTCTGAGAACACAAGTAGATAAAGGCTGTGTGTTTGGATCAAATGGAAAACCACGCTTATTCCTAAGGGTGGATGTCATGGCTAGATTCGTGGGTGGAGCTAAAAAAACTGAAACACAAATGTTAAACAAGTCCGTCATATACATTTCAGTCTGTTTCACTTTTGACAAAAATATGCAATACTCAGAAAAAAATCTACTATTTTCATTACCTGCGGCTTTTACATTAAGAATTAAAATAAAGTTATAACTGCCTTATGCCTCATATAGACTCTTAGTGAGGTTTCTGTAATTGAATTGTTCCATGGAGCGAGGTGATTGGTCCCCACATTGAACCTTTGTACACTGGTATCTTTTCTATGTTGTGTCCCTTCAGGATGTAGGGGATCATGGTCCTCCACATCTTCCTGTCTCTTGTAAGCTTTCTTCCAAACCCTGTTCTACCATCCATTTACTCAAGCTCATCAAATATGTTACATGCTGCCTTCCTCTGTCTTTCAATCTGTCCTGTGAGTATCAGATTTTCCAAGCCCTCCTTCCTAATTATGTACCCCAGAAATTTCCATTGCCTCTTCTTGATGATGTTAAGTATGTTACCTTTTTGTTTACATTTTCTCCAAAACCTCATCATTGCTCACATTTTCAGTACATGTTATCCACAGCATCTTTCTGTAGAACCACATTTCTGTTGCTTCAAGTTTCTTCTTCATCTTTAAGGAGATACACTGGCATAATAGTTGCCATCCAATGCTATAGGATCCAGTCTATACTTCTATTTACCCATAGCTGGGAAGAGAAGAGATAGTCATAACATTCTCAAGGGTATTTGCACCTAATTGAATATAACAAACTAAACTGGAATTTGAACTCAGCTCTTCAGTTCCACAATCTGAGCTTCTATCCTTTATTCCAACATGGGCCTCAATAATGGAGTTCTGCAATAGACATTGTAATCAGAAATCATAATTTCTTTCAAAATATTACTATAGCTTAAGCACTCTGGATCACAAATATTAAAAATAAAATTGAATTAAATTTTATAGAAGTTAGTAGCTTGTTATGCAAATTCATTGTAATTTGATCAACCTATGGAAGCCAAAATATAACATGATTTCTGAAAATTCAAAAAATAAATAAATATTGGTGAAAAGATTTTTTGTATGGTACATTTCATCCTGTAGAACTTCATCAGAGTAAAGTGATATTTTGTCCACTTTGTTATAGATTTTTCTAAAATTAATTCAAATGTCATGTCTGGACAGATGTGGTTATAGCTCTCCACAAGTTCTTTTTCTTTATTGTATATGAATTGCTATGATTTTTTGGGAACAGTAACAGACCAGTTTGCTGTGGTCTTCACTATGGTTTTGAGTTGTGCTTCTTCTAGATTGGCTGCTACACATGGCTAGTTTGATTTGTTTATTTATGGCTCATGAATCCTTTACAAGTTATTTAAAAGCAGATTTAGATTGTAAGAATTTTTTTTTTTTTGAGATAATTTCTTATATAAGTCTAACTAATTAACATCTAGCTTAGGAGAGAAGAGGTGGATTCGTACCATTCTCAGGGGTATTTGTATATAAGTGAATATCATGAACTTAACTGGAATTGGAACTTGGTTCTCTGATTTCTGAGCCATCTACACACCCAAACTTACAGGACCTGTTATTCCCAAGCAGCACCCATCTAGCTACTGACCAGGATAGATGCTGCTTAACTTCAGTGATTGAATGTAAACTGGTGTTTGATATTGCTGGCTAGAAAGTGCAGCCTAACTTGCTATTTAATTCAGAGCTGGAGGTGTAAACAAGAAATGGGTTCATGCTTTTTTGAAGGTCATTAATGGAGGAAACTGGAACTTGAACTTGGCTTACTGAGTTCATTTTCCATATTGATAACCATTATGCCAATCCCACATCCAATAAATATTGTACAGTAAATGTCAATTCCTTTGTGGATTATGCAGCTATTGCTGCAATGGCACAATTTAAAAAAAAAAACTTTAACAGGATTGAGAACAACTCTAGTCGGTTTCACGAACAATGACTGGCTATTTTATATTTGATATATTGTTTATATTATCATTCTGAGCCATTATCTATTTCACCACCTGCACATCCAAGCATACAGCACTTGGTACTCCCAAGTGGTCACCCATCTAGAAACTGACCAGGCTTTAAGTTGTTTTACTTCAGTGATCATATGAGAACCTGTGATTCAATGTGATGTAGTTGTAAGCCCTTTGAAGCTGAGAAAAGAAATAAGTTGGCATAGTGAAAGCATTTACTGTCATTCCAGATGCACTTTTATAAATGCTAGAAACAAATACAGCCCAGAGAGAATCTTGCTCCTATTCAAGAGTGATTTCATCTTACAATATTAAGTTTATATCATTCTAAGAGAATATTGAAAGTACAATGGTACAATTTAAATAAAAAAAAAACAAAAAAAAACTTTAACAAGATTGAATACAACTCAAGTCAATTTTGCAAACAATGATTGGCTATTTTATATTACTGTCAAGTTTTGTTTTCTTGATTGGGTGTTGCTATAACTGAGCCATTTAAAAAAAGCACTCTATAGGAAAATCCTCTCTCTGGTTAAAAGCCTCGCATTTTGCAGAGAATTTATTGCAGGATCAAAAATATGAGGGGAATTCTCTTTCTTTCTTTCTTTTTTTCTAACCTCCATGTATGAAAAGAATATTTATTGATGGCTGTATCTTTACTGTTTAATCTCAGAATGGTCTTTTCTTTGCGTTTACTTTTTATAATATTCCCAATATACGCACAATGAGAAGAAAGCCTGATAATGTTTTCAGCAGAGATTTATCGGTATTTGGGCCAATCAGGTGTCAAAAACTACTCTGCTTCTTATTGAAAAAGAATCTAAATTTATGAAGCTATGAATCCTGAATGCAGCTGTCAACGTTCTATTTCATCCTCATCGCATATTTCTTGTTTCCAAAGGAGGTAAATCTTCCACATCTTATTCCAAAGATGCCAGTGACATCATGGTTTTAACTAAAGGTAGCTGCCATGAGTTTATTGGGGACCTTGTCTTAGTGGAATGTGTTATCACATTAAGCCTCAACATCCTGATCTTTGCCTATAATTAGTGGATAGTGGACTTTACTTTCAGTTTTGTATTCTTAATTGTACTTTTAGAGTGATTACCAACCAAGGCTGGAGAGCTCAGCCTACACTGCTATTTTGTTCATAGCTAGAGGTTGAATAGACAGGTTCATGCCTTTCCTAAGTGCATAAGTGCACAGTTAATGCAACAGCTCTGTCAAGAATAAGGACTATTATCTTTTGTATTTCCATTGAGCAAAATATAATTTATGAAAACATTGATTTTATTTGAGTCAACTCTTTGCTTCCACCTCTCTTTCACCTGTTCTCACTCTCATTGATCTTCTCTTTTTTTCTATTGCCCCTCTTTGATCATCCCTTTTTTCTATTTCTCTTTTGTTTGATCCTCCTGTTATCTATTCCCCCCTCTCTTTGATCCTCCCGTTATCTTTGATCCTGCCGTTGTCTAGTCCCCCTCCCTTTGATCCTGCCGTTGTCTAGTCCCCCTCCTTTGATCCTGCCGTTGTCTAGTCCCCTCCTTTGATCCTGCCGTTGTCTAGTCCCCCTCCTTTGATCCTGCCGTTGTCTAGTCCCCCCTCCCTTTGATCCTGCCGTTGTCTAGTCCCCTCCCTTTGATCCTGCCGTTGTCTAGTCCCCTCCTTTGATCCTGCCGTTGTCTAGTCCCCCCCTCCTTTGATCCTGCCGTTGTCTAGTCCCCCTCCCTTTGATACCTTCTTTTTTTTCTCCCCCTCCCTTTGATACCTTCTTTTTTTTTCTACTCCCTTTGATACTTTTTTTTTTCTACTCCCCCCCTCCCTTTGATACTTTTTTTTTTTTCTCCCCCCTCCTTTGATACTTTCTTTTTTTTTTCCCCCCTCCCTTTGATACTTTTTTTTTTTTACTCCCCCCTCCCTTTGATACTTTTTTTTTTTTCTACTCCCATCCCTTTGATACTTTCTTTTTTTTTCTACTCCCCATCCCTTTGATACTTTCTTTTTTTTCTACTCCCCATCCCTTTGATACTTTCTTTTTTTTCTACTCCCCATCCCTTTGATACTTTCTTTTTTTTCTACTCCCCCTCCCTTTGATATTTTCTTTTTTTCCTACTCCCCCTCCCTTTGATACTTTCTTTTTTTCTACTCTCCTTCTCTGATCCTCTTTTTCTACTCCTACCATGTTGATCCTCTTTTTTTTCTGTACTCCTCCTTTTTAATACTCTTTTTTTTATCTTTTTAAATTGTGATTGTTATTTCTTTATCTTTCACTGATGTTAAATGTTGATCTGACAAAAGAAAATTACTTAACAAAGTATTAAAAATATTTTATTATTTAAATTAACTTGAGATTAAGATTGAGATTTTCATATTGATGACATGCCTGGCAGCAAAACTGTTTTAAAATATCTAAACTGTCAGCTGTAAACAACCATTTTTAAAGATCAATGATTAAAATGGCTTTGAGTGAGTGAGGTCTAAGGGTTTTGACAAAGATTATCCTTCTCCAAACTTGGTACTGCAGAATCACAAAGAACTGTACCATATAAGAGAACTCATATCACTTGAGGACTATCAACAGCAGTAACAACTAAAATAGATAAGAGTTATGGCTCTCAGTTGCACTATTAGTTGGCTTGAAGTAAAGAACACCATGTCTCAGTAATACTTTCACTTTTATCATTCCAGTTTCTCTTTCTAGTATTTGTTTTTCCATCCCTTTGCTGAAACTTGTCAACTAAATTACTTACTGTTTTACTTTGAATTACCCTAGGAGTGTTTAATTCTCCAAGCGTTTTTTCCTGATTATGTGTCCCAAAAATTTCAACTGTTTCTTTTGGATTGTTATTGGTAGTTTCTCTGTAGTTCTTATTCTTCTTAAAAATTTAACATTTCTCACATAATATGTCCATGGTATCTTCAACATTCATCAGTAGAACCACACATCAACTACTTCATATCATTTTTTTCCATTTCTGATGAAATTGCCTTGCTTTCACCGCCATATATAAAGAAAGATACCATATAGAAATATTATTTTTGCAGACTCTTACTATCTTACTCAATTTTAGAAAAGACCAAGAGTCTATGGGCAGGAAACTAGAGATGGTGTTGCGATAAAAACACAAAAGAGAAGGCAAATGAGGATCACTGCATCATCTCTCCTCAGAACAGCTATCATAGCTAACACATCTAATTTTGTCAAAAAACGTACATGTTGCAAGTTACACCCACAGAGAATGGAAAAATTTCAATATTTTTAATTCTGAAAAAATCAATACTTTTGATATTTTAAAAAAATGAATATTAGAGAACTACATAAAATGTATTTCTCTGAAAAATTAAAAAGATAAACATGTTAATATCTGTTTACCAGCTTCTACTTAGACTTTGGCTATGAATCCAGGAATCAACAAAAAAAATAAAAAATATTTTTGAATTCACCTCCCCACCTAGCTGTTTCAGCCAACTTTGTTAACATCTACCTTATACAACAATCATATGTAGAATGAATAACAGCACAAATTTTACTCTCTTTACCAACCAACCATCTGGTACATTTTTTTAATCTGTAAAAAGCAAGGGAGATAACTACTCCATTTCCAGAAATCTTGAATTGCACAGCTTTCATTAATGGACAATTAGTTTTAAATTATCAATGTGACCAAAGGCAAGATATAATGACTGCATTGTTGGCATGAAATAGATATTATGTAAGATGAACTGACTCAGTGACATTAAAAAAAACTAAATAAATAAATAGAATAGCTGCTATCTGATGTCTCTAATATGAAGAAACTGCTATATTGCATATGGTTGCATTTCTTTCTTCTCAGATATACAAAGGTGAAGGTCACTGTGAAAGTAATACCTCTGATTTTATTATGCTTGTCTGTGATATCAGAGGTGGATTTTGATAGTATGGCAGAAGAAGTTGAACTTTGCCCAATAATCCTTGCTACAACCTGGCAGAATAGTGTCTGACATGAAAGTGCATAAAGCAGAGATACAGTTGTGAATTGTTTAAGCTGAAAAAGTTGCTGCTGCTAACATTCACTGAGTCTTGTTTAACATTTATAGAGACCCAATGGTGAATGTGAGCCCAATTAAACACTTGCTGGTGTGTTTTGTTGTCAGTGGAGATCATAGAGCCCACAGTCCTGTACAGACTCCATTATCTTTTCAATGACTGTATAGTGTACACCTTGCCAGAGTGACAAAATGGTTTTGGATTCTGAATTATCCTTCAAGATTGGTTGCCAACCACAGGTAGAATGCCCACTCTGCCCTGCTATTTAACCCATAATAAACTAATGGGGAGAAAAATGGATTCATACTTTTCCCAAGGTTGTTTATGCAAAAGAGAATGTAACAAACTCAGCTAGAATTTAGTCTCAGCTTGCTGATTTCTTTTTCTGAGCTGCTGTTAGACTACCCGCACATTGGGGTGGGGTGGCTCAATCATGAGGATGATGAAGTGTGTGACAAGCCATTGACAGCCTTGTCAATCTAAGAAATGTAGAGGACCTCAAAAGTCTGTAGCCACTGGTGGAGATCATGTACACAAATAGTGTTTTTGTAGCTGAAAACTTCCCATAATCCAATGTTGTATTTCCAGTTGGAGTTTCTTGTTGGTATAGGTAGAAGGTGGAATAGTCCAAACTAGTTTGTCTCTAGTATCTTTGAAAGGAAATATTAACAGCCATGATGATTTTATGATACACTGCAAGCAGAGAATGAAGACAAATTATCACTTGTTAATTGCAACTGTAAAAATTTAATAGGAGTAGATAGGTTTGCCAATCACCCAAGTCACACTCCTCCATTGTTCTTGAAAAGGAGTAGAGGTTTATCTGTTGTTTCCTGTTTAGGATTGTATTTCCTGTTCCTTCTAAAATCTTTTCATTCTCCTTCACTCCCAGTAGCTCATTGTGTCTTAGTGGTATTATCACCTTACTTTGGGTGAGCTGATTAAAAAGAAAAATATTTCAGAATTTTTCTGTGTATGATTTTGGTTAATTTTATATTGAACACTGGTTATAATACGATCACTGAAGTTAAACACTGTCAAGCTTTAAGCTTGGATGTGCGGGTGGTGTAATGGATAACAGCTCAAAATTGAAAATCAGAGAGATGAGTCCTAATTCCAGTTGG